CCTCACACATCAGATAGAGCACTAATCTCTAGGGTATATAAAGAACTCAAAAATCTAAATACCAAAAACACAAGTAACCCAATCAATAAATGGGCCAAGGACATGAACAGACACTTCTCAAAAGAGGATATTCAATCAACAAATATATGAAAAAATGTTCTTCATCTCTAGCGATTAGAGAAATACAAATCAAAACTAAGATACCATCTCACTCTAATCAGAATGGCAGCTATTATGAAAACAAACAATTAGTGTTGGTGAGGATAGGCGGGGGGCGGAAGGCACACTCATACATTGCTGGTGGGACTGCAAATTGGTGTAGCCAATATGGAAAGAAGTATGGAGATTCCTTGGAAAACTTGATGGAACCACCATTTGACCCAGCTATTCCTCTCCTCGGTCTATACCCAAAGGACTTAAAAACAGCATACTATAGGGACACAGCCACATCAATGTTTACAGCAGCACAATTCATAATAGCTAAACTGTGGAACCAAACTAGATGCCCTTCAGTGGATGAAAGAATTTTAAAAATGTGGCATATATACACAATGGAATTTTACTCAGCAATAAAACAATGACATTTGCAGGTAAATGGATGCAGCTGGAGAAGATAATGCTAAGTGAAGTTAGCCAATCCCCCCAAAACAAATGTTGAATGTTTTCTCTGATATAAGGTGGCTGACTCATAGTGGAGTAGGGAGTGGGAGTATGGTGGAATGTTATGAACATCATTATCTAAAGTACATGTATGAAGACATGAATTGGTGTGAACATACTTTATATACAAACAGAGGTATGAAAAAAATTGTGTTCTATATGTGTAATAAGAATTGTGACTCAATCCGCTGTCATATATTTTAAAAAATTACATTACCTTCTTTACTAGTGTTCAACTTCAGATTTGTGCCACTTATGGTTTTGGAGAACAAGGATAAATATCTTAAGTGGGAACTTATATTCCAGGGAACTACTGACCTGCTGTTTAAACTTCTTGTGAAAGGGATATTGCTGCATTCTAGCTCTTTCAGGGTTACTGGCATGAGAATGATAGTGGCCCTGATCGTTTTATCAGTTCCAATGGTGAGGGAAATTCTGATTGCTTCAAGTCAGAACCAGTAGAAAGGTAACAGAATGAAGAGTAAAACACTCTTGTTTTGCTAACAATATTCTCATTTTTTTATTATTGGAAAGTGATTTTATATTCTTATAGATCATGGATGCAACATATGACTCATTCTGCCTCATGTGGTACAGGTTTGGCTCATCCTTAATCTTGCTTCAAGTAACTTACAAAAGAGAAGAAAATTGGAAAAATGTAGAAGTCTCATATCTAAATGCACTATGATCAGGATTAAGTATTTTATGGGAGTATTACTGATATTTTCTATGGTTGGTTTCATATATTAGGGAAAAATATAATTTTATTTTAAAATAGATATGGGGGAATGACATTTTACAAAAAGCAGGTCACTAAGTATTATGAATCCATTACCTTAGTTTGTATACCTATAATTGTGTGTGTGTATATATATACATATATACACACACACACACTTAGGCTTAGGTATGTAAAAACAATCTGAAGCGTATGTACAGTGGCTACCTCTGAGAAACGGTATGGATAGATAGAACTTTACATATCTTTTTCCCAAAATCAAGCAGTTCAAAGTACATAAACTCTTATTTAGAAAGCCAATAAAAATGTTGAAAATTAAAATAAAAATTCAGATATTTGAATCTTGTCAAACTTTG